CACCCATAAAGTGTGTTGAAATACATGAAACACACACACACACACACACACACACACACACACACACACACACACACACACACACACACACACACACACACACACATACATGGGAATTGACAGGGTGGACAAAGACAAACTCTTCAGCACGGGTGGGACACGAACAAGGGGACGCAGGTGGAAACTTAGTACCCAGATGAGCCACAGAGACGTTAGAAAGAATTTTTTCAGTGTCAGAGTAGTTAATAAATGGAATGCACTAGGAAGTGATGTGGTGGAGGCTGACTCCATACACAGTTTCAAATGTAGATATGATAGAGCCCAGTAGGCTCAGGAACCTGTACACCAGTTGATTGACAGTTGAGAGGCGGGACCAAAGAGCCAAAGCTCAACCCCCGCAAGCACAAATAGGTGAATTAGATCAGTACACACAGTGTCAGCAAGGCGGACAGCCCGCCTGCTATGACAGCTCGATATTTGACATTTCAAAACTAATTCCTTCGCATCTATCCTCTTTCCTCACCCAGCCCCAGAAAAATAGTTCCAGTACCCTATTCCTTGGGTGACCCTGGGAGGAGACCCCGGCCCCTGGGGAGACCCAGGGGGCCACGGGGTGACCCAGGGCGCCACGGGGTGACCCAGGGGGACCCTAACCCCTGGGTTATCACCTCGGCTGAGATCATCAAGGAGTGAGTTGTACCATTACCGGTAATTGCCAGGACTGATAATGAGAGGAGAGGCGTGGGGTGGAGGACCCACCTAACCTAACCTTCACCACGGCCCCCAGGTGACCTCCCCAGGTGACGAGCACCTTAGGAGACCTAACAGGGGAAGATGGCACACAGAGAAAGGGGGAGTAGATAAACATGAGAGGGGAGATTGAGGGAGGAAGTGGCAGGCGTAAGAGAGTAGAAGTTAGAAAGTAGAGGGAAAGGAGAGAGTAGAAGGGAGAAAGTAGAGGGAAAGGAGAGAGTAGAAGGGAGAAAGTAGAGGGAAAGGAGAGAGTAGAAGGGAGAAAGTAGAGGGAAAGGAGAGAGTAGAAGGGAGAAAGTAGAGGGAAAGGAGAGAGTAGAAGGGAGAAAGTAGAGGGAAAGGAGAGAGTAGAAGGGAGAAAGTAGAGGGAAAGGAGAGAGTAGAAGGGAGAAAGTAGAGGGAAAGGAGAGAGTAGGTGAAGGAAAAGAGAGGTAGTGGAAGTAATGACACACAAGGAAGTGATGAAGGGAGGAATGGGAAACATATGATAATGTTAGAAGGGGGAAAACAGTAGAGAAACAACTACGGGCTCGCCATAGCCCGTGCTGCTTGGAACTTTTTGTTCCGAGTAGCGAATCTTTAACAACAACAGTAGAAAAAAATGTTCCCCTAAGATGTTGAATACCATCTGGCTTTGTATTTAATAAAAATAATAATAACAACACAATTTGTATACAAAATACACAATATGGTATTACATATTATGTGTGTGTGTTTAAACCCACTAATTACTGATGAGTTAACATTGCAAATTTTAACATGGGAGTGACAGAATGCATGATTGAAACTTGATACCTCGAACCCTGATAATTGTTTATGGTCATAATATTGACTTCATGTTGGATGTTGATGAGTGTGGGTTAGGGGTCGGCCACTGCTTGAACAAGCACTGACTGACCTTTGTAAACGTACATGAATAACACTATGTAAAAAGACACTTCGAAACACTATGTTGGACAGACGTAAATCTGTGTATTTGTGTGAGTAGGTTAGATTAGCTTTTTATAATCACTACAATCACCTTCAGCGGTTAATTGCTCGATAAATCACTGAACTATATGTTTAACAGATCTCTCACCCTGTCCATGGAGGACAGAAGAAAATGAATATATGCTGGTTAGCATTGTAAATGTGTGGCCACGTCTGTGACCATTTGAAACCGAGTTCACATGTATGTCAGCTACATGTAGCAATGTCTCCTCCTGTCAACTACTGCTTTGACCCCCGAGGGAGGACGGCCCACACCCCCACCATACACACCCCCTACCCCCCCCCCCCACACACACACCCACCACACACACATACACACCCTCCACCACACCCCCCACCACACACACCAGGGATAACAACTCTGCCACAGGGAGTGGCTAGCCTTCAGAGTCCTTATATCACGTTATACCTTATATCGTGTTATACACATGTCCTCCCCCCCCCCCCACGCCGGAGGAAGGGGGCGGCCAGCACCTCCACCTCCTCCAGTGCGCCCAGCTAATTAAGAAGCTCACATTTTGGGAGAATTATAGCAGTTTCTACCGTGAATTACCTCCTGCCCGCTCTCTCTGAATTAAAAGTGTGTGAAAGGGGGGGATAACTGCTGCTTGTTCATCTTTGTTCACCTGTTCACCCTCAGCCACTTACAAATGTTCACCCTTCATGTTAATTCCCAGGCGAGTGGACCGGTGACCTCAGAGAAGCGTACATATGGAGCCGCTACGGTGGAAATAACAGCGTTCGAAATATATATTCGAACGCTGTTATTTTTTTACGTTCGTTTTTCTTCAATCTAGACCTCCTCCTTACAGGTGAGTTGAAAGTTATAGATCGTAAGAGCGTACAAATCATACGGTGGTGTCTATAATATCATAATTGTTCTCTATAACACAAATTACTATAACCTCTCCCTTTGCCCTTTATAACCCCCCCCCACCTTGCCCACCATAACCCCCCCACCTTGCCCACCATAACCCCCCCACCTTGCCCACCATAACCCCCCCACCTTGCCCACCATAACCCCCCCACCTTGCCCACCATAACCCCCCCACCTTGCCCACCATAACCCCCCCACCTTGCCCACCATAACCCCCCACCTTGCCCACCATAACCCCTCACCTTGCCCACCATAACCCCTCACCTTGCCCACTATAACCCCTCACCTTGCCCACCATAACCCCTCACCTTGCCCACTATAATCGTACCTCCTCACGCCTCACTAGTCTCTCACCTCTACCTTTAAAAGCTCTCCTTACTGTCTCTCAGTAATCCTTCCTCCCACCCCCCCACCCATCCCTTCCCCCCATCAATTCCTCCCCTCACTGCTCTAGATACCTTCCCCTCACTCTAACTACTCACTATAACCCCTTTCCCATGCCCTCGTTGGCGCCCCGGGTCACTTCCCTTCCTTCTCGTGACCCCTCCTCCCCTTCCACACTCTCCCACACCTTTCCAGTAGAGTCATGGAACGGGAAGATAATCACAGTGAACGGTGGAACGTCTAGATCCAAAAAGAGCTCCGAAAGAGGAAGATAGAGTAGCGGGAGAACACTGGAACGGATAGAGCTGCAGGAAGGGACTAGAGTAGAGCTAGTAGCGCTCTACAGCAGCATGATAAGAGCCAAGAGTGAATCAAAAAGAGATATATAAGAGAGAGAGGAAGGCGGGGAAGACCCCTTACGACATAATGGTCTGTAGAAGAGCCACGGGACAGGTAGGTAGGTAGAGGGAAGACCTCTACGTCAGTGAGGGAGGAGGGAGAGTGACCAGGGGAGAGCTGGGAGAGGTTGAGGTGGTGTTGGGAGAGACTTGAGGCAGGGAGGGGGGGGGGTATAGTGGTTAGTCTCTCCTTCAGCAGGTTGAGTGATTGGGTAAGAAGAGACTTTGTTTACAGAGAGAGAGAGAGAGAGAGAGAGAGAGAGAGAGAGAGAGAGAGAGAGAGAGAGAGAGAGAGAGAGAGAGAGAGAGAGAGAGAGAGAGAGAGAGAGAAAGAGAGAGAGAGAGAGACGGGTGAGTGGTTGGGGCCCCACAACCCAATGCTCGAGTTACAACTCCACAAAACATGGGAGTTGCTTGTAAAGAAAGCGGGTACTGTCTCATGTCTAGCATGTTCCTCCTCTTACCTCATTCTGCCTCATCCTTCCTCTTTTCTGCAGCCTCCTCCTCCTCCTCTTCCCCAGCGAGAAGAGTGGAAGAGCGGTGATGGCAGAGATGGGGGTTGGTGATAGTGTGGGGGTGAATGGGTAGTTAAGGGGGGCTGTAGCGTGGCCAGGGTTAACAAGCGCCCTGGTAATTTACTACTCTCTCCTGCCACGATTTTGCCTCCTTCAAGAGGACTCCTGTTTTAATTTGTGCATGTGTATATATTATATATATATATATATATATATATATATATATATATATATATATATATATATATATATATATATATATATATATATATATATATATATATATATATATATATATATATATGTCGTACCTAGTAGCCAGAACGCACTTCTCAGCCTACTATGCAAGGCCCGGTTTGCCTAATAAGCCAAGTTTTCATGAATTAATATATTTTCTCTAATTTTTTTCTTATGAAATGATAAAGCTACCCATTTCATTATGTATGAGGTCAATTTTTTCTTATTGGAGTTAAAATTAACGTAGATATATGACCGAACCTAACCAACCCTACCTAACCTAACCTAACCTATATTTATAGATTAGGTTAGGTTAGGTAGCCGAAAAAGTTAGGTTAGGTTAGGTTAGGTTAGGTAGGTTAGGTAGTCGAAAAACAATTAATTCATGAAAACTTGGCTTATTAGGCAAATCGGGCCTTGCATACTAGGCAGATAAGTGCGTTCTGGCTACTAGGTACGACATATATATATATATATATATATATATATATATATATATATATATATATATATATATATATATATATATATATATATATATATATATATATATATATACCTGGCCAGCTCGTCCTCCTAAGGTTTCCCAACGTCCGTCAAGAAACTATCGTACTAAAGTGCCCATATCCTAACCTACCAGAGGAGGCAAAACAGAAGACGGGACAGAATGCCAGCCGCTACCATTTTCTTGTACGACAATTTTTGGGGTAGAGTATACGTCAAAATGCGACGTTGTATCTCTCTCCCCTTCCCTTGATCTTCCTCTGTCTCTCTCTCTCTCTCTCCCCTCCTCCATCTCCCCCCCCCCGTGTCTGTGGACACGTGGTGTGCCAGGAAGGGTGGCACCCCCTGCTTCCCATCTGCAGTCATGGTGGTGGGGGTGCCACTGTAGGTGGGGGTGCCACTGTAGGTGGGGGTGCCACTGTAGGTGGGGGTGCCACTGCAGGTGGGGGTGCCACTGTAGGTGGGGGTGCCACTGCAGGTGGGGGTGCCACTGTAGGTGGGGGTGCCACTGCAGGTGGGGGTGCCACTGCAGGTGGGGGTGCCACTGCAGGTGGGGGTGCCACTGTAGGTCGGGGTGCCACTGTAGGTGGGGGTGCCACTGCAGGTGGGGGTGCCACTGTAGGTGGGGGTGCCACTGCAGGTGGGGGTGCCACTGTAGGTGGGGGTGCCACTGCAGGTGGGGGTGCCACTGTAGGTGGGGGTGCCACTGCAGGAGGGGGTGAGCGGGGGCATCATCTCCCCTTAACTCCCCACCCACCAATCGGCAGTCCCTTATTACAGCTAATTGCCGGCAAAGTATATTTAGATTTTTTGGCAAGAGTGCAGACAGCAGTGCATAATGTTTTACACTACAGGAATAACAAAAAATCAAAGTGAAACACGCAATAAAACAAAAAAATAATTCCAAGTTTATTTACTGTATTAAGACATAGCAAAATAAGTCAGGAGGGTTGAGGGGGTAGACTTGGCAACGTGTCAAGTGGCACTCGTTCCATTTATGCCAACCCCGACCCGACCATGCTGGGCACATACCCAACAGCAAGTAACGTTACGAAACGGGTGATGAGCCACAAACGTCTGGCCTCCAACGGAAAGACATTCTAACGCATAGAGATAAAAGTCAGCGTGGAATTCATATAGATAAAAGTCAAACGAGTGGAAGAGTTGAGGAAATATTAGTGTGTGAGGGGGCCCAGGGAGGCAGCCGGCCGAGGCATAAGGCGCCCGACCTCACTATCGATATTCTATACAATTTCAATTCATATTACAAGAGCCAGGTATGTAGCGGCGGTGTACGAACAAAAAGGGAACGGACATGATGCGAGAGCAAGTGTGTGGGTTCTATCCGGATCGTGGGGGCTCTATCCGGATCGTGGGGGCTCTATCCGGATCGTGGGGGCTCTATCCGGATCGTGGGGGGCGTGTGTTGGGGGGAGTTAACCGGATGGTGGTGTTGTGTAGGGGTTAACCGGATCATGTGAGTGTGTGGGGTCGCCGCATCATTAAACTGTCCGGAACTTAAGCCGGTTCCTACCACGTTTTACCGGCCATAAGAGCATTACTTGGACCATAAGAAAATTTCAGTGGCCATATTAGCGTTATTGTTAGCATAAGAGCGTAACTGGGGCCATAAAGGCCATTACTATGGCCGCCTGAGCGTTCTTGTGGCCATTAAAGTGATTATGGTGTCCGGGATAGCATTTTTCTGCCTATAAAGTAATTGGTGTGACCACAAGATTATTACTGAGGCCATGAGGACCTTATTCATGTGGCCAGGACCTTGATGTGGCCAGGACCTTGGTGTGGCCAGGACCTTGGTGTGGCCAGGAGAACCTTGGCGTTGAAGCCTGGCCATGACTGTGGCCAGGAGAGGATAACCATGGCCATGAAACATCTTCATAACAAGAACACAGAGCCATTGAGAGCCCTTCTTTCCCGACCAAAACATATGAGGAGACATTTGATTCTTAGTCTCCTTACAATCGACTTATTTGAGCGCCATATTCTTGCATTAGAGCTCTCGGCGCTGCTCCTCTTCTTTCCAACAGAGGTGCTCGAGCTCTGTATATTGAGCAGCGCTCTTTAAGCGCCACATATCTGAGAGTAAGCAGCAGGCATATAGGTCAACATAATGTTGCTTCATAGAGAGATATTTCGAATGCAAATTGGTCTCTAAAGACCAAGTCGACTTTCCATGAGTTTTCCACTCGCATCAATCTCCACCCCCCCCCTTTCATCAATCACCCAATCTCCAATCATCCTTCTCAACAATCTCTCTCTCTCTCTCTCTCTCTCTCTCTCTCTCTCTCTCTCTCTCTCTCTCTCTCTCTCTCTCTCTCTCTCTCTCTCTCTCTCTCTCTCTCTCTCTCTCCCCAGGTGTGAACGCTACTGGTTATTGACAAACAAACTCATGACTGTTCTTAGATAGCCAATTTAAAACAGTTTTCATACAAAAATACAAATATTTAAAAATACCCAAATAAAAATATCTCTAATTTTTTCTTATTTTGGAATTGCCGGAAATGTAAACACAGTGTCGAGGAAACTAGGAGTTTTTTTTGTAAATTGGTGTAGTGGAGTGGAGTGGGGGTGGAGTGGGGGTGGAGTGGGGTGTATTGGCGGTGTAGTGGGGTGTATTGGCGGTGTAGTGGGGTGTATTGGCGGTGTAGTGGGGTGTATTGGAGGTGTAGTGGGGTGTATTGGCGGTGTAGTGGGGTGTATTGGAGGTGTAGTGGGGTGTATTGGAGGTTTAGTGGGGTATAGTGGGAGGTGGATGGAGTGGAGGTGGAGTGCACTGGAAGTGTAGTGTGGTGTAGTGTAGTGTAGTGTAGTGGAGGTACAGTGGAGGTGTGTACAACACTTGTCTGTCATGGCGTTGTTGTCAAATGACTGGCAATAAAGGGAATTAAACAAACCATATATTCTGTTAGTGACCTGTAAAATATTACGGTGTTATTGGTTTGTAAAATAGTTTAATGTGGTCGTTCATTACACAATGATTATGAAAACTTTAGTTAAAGATTTACCGTCATATTATTTTTTTCAGGCAATGTTGTTATATCCTTTAAAAATAATGGTAAACTGAATTTGCAGTTAAATCACATTTGATCAGGGGATATAATATATTATATAGTATATACATATATTATATTATATATTATTATATAAGGTTGACATTCAAATGTGTTTCTTTTCTTGTAAGAAAGTATAGTAAGAAAACTTTTAAGAATAAATAGTTAAGAGGCATGCTAATATGATAGTACAAGATTGGTTGTGGGGGTCGCTTTGGCACAATGTCAGGTGGCATTCATTTCATTCATGGCAACCCTGACCCATCCATGATGGATAAGTAACCAACAGCAATTATGGTTAAAAATTGGGTAAGGCATCTGGCTTCCAGCCTTGAGGAGACATTGTACTTTATATACATCTAGTTTTTACCATTAATTGCTATCTGGTACCTGCCCAAAATGGGTGGGTTGGGGGTTGGCATTAATGAAATGAGTGCCACTTGACGTGGCATCAAAGCGAACCCCACGAACAAATCTTGTAATATCATATTAACATAATTGAATTTTGTTGACCTGACCACACACTAGAAGTTGAAGGGACGACGACGTTTCGGTCCGTCCTGGACCATTCTCAAGTCGATTTCGGTCCAGGACGGACCGAAACGTCGTCGTCCCTTCAACTTCTAGTGTGTGGTCTGGTCAACATACTTCAGCCACGTTATTGTGACTCATTGCCTGCATAATTGAATTTTTTTCATAATTGTTCTTACCACATTGTAAAATATATTCACTGATATCGGCAAAATAGAAAAAAAAATCTACTTTGCCTGTAATATATGTTGATACCATCACCACCTGTTCCCCAACCATCATTCTTTCCCTCCATACAAGCCTCCTGTGTGTAAGCTCTATACACACAGCCCCGCGTGTTCTGTCGCGAATGTGTTCACGCGGTCTGCCCACTGATACCGAGCAAGAGAGACAGACAGAGACAAAGAGACATAATACAACCCCAGCAACAATACAGAACCACTAGCAAAAATCATTACAATAATACACACTAAGATACACAACCCCCAAGCCATACCCCCCCCCCCTGGTGTATGGATGAACAGGTAACCACAATTCATCCAGTTCATCCAATTTCCCTGCACAATAAACCGGACGATAGCCAAACACTATATAAATAGTTATTACAAGCGCCTTGTATACTGTACATATACAAGCGTCGTGTATTAGGAACTCTATAAACCGGAGGGCTGTGATAAGTATATACATGAAGGTCGTTACCGTTAACGAGCGGGTGGTTGGTGGTGGTGGTTCACCGCTCTTGTTGACTCTTCAGCCTTTGTTTAGCAACCAATTAACACCTGATTATAAAACTGTGACCGCGCGCCAGGCTTCTTAAAGAGTACCTTCAGGCCAGACCTGAGGTACGTGAACTTTATTGGTGTGGCCAGGACCTTGGTGTGGCCAGGACCTTGGTGTGGTCAGAACTCCTGGCGGTACAGTTCCTGACTCACGATACAATTAGTATTATGAACATACGAATAGAGGACACTGTAGAAGACCTATTCACCCATACGAGAGCAGCAGCTACTTACAGTCACCCCAAACATTCGTGTGTCTAACCTACGCTTGAAACAATCCACCGATCCCACGTCTATTATGCCACCCGATAACCTGCTCCAACAACCTTCTTCCCAAACCAGTATTTACCCAAGGTACATCTCAACTACCTAAACGTATCCAATGTATATCCCTTGTCGCGTGATTTACGGATGACATTGTGGGCCACGAGGAGAGATTACCTGTGAAATATTTATATTTAATCGACTGTAATGATCACACTAAGGGCTGAAGCCGCAGTCCAACAGACACAACATGAGAGGAGCCTTGTAATGCAAGCACTGATAACAACAACCTGCTTGATCAAGACGATAAGAAAACATTAGCGTAACTCACGGTTGTGATGCCTTCTGCTGCCCGCAGCTTGACAATGGTCAAGATTGCTGGAAGGAAAATGATGATACAATTACTTTAAGACATTTATAAACAACTTGCAAATTGACCCTTAAATAACAGGTCAAAGGAATGTCTATTGAATGCACATATAAATATTGTGTGTATAGCACTGTGTTAGTGCCTCAGAGGTCAACTAGCACCCCCCCCCCCTCTCTCTCTCTGTGGCTAAAGGTATCATCTCATTCATCATTCAACTGACATAGTTGACTGACAGATGTATAATACAGTAACATAACGTAAATCAGTCACTGTATTTTTCAATAAAACTAAAATACAAACTTCAATCAAATGTAATGTTACAAAATAATAATATATTAGTAACTACAGCAAGCTAAGTAGGAAGGAAGTATTTCAAAAGAAATACAGAAATATTGTTACAAAACACACATTAAAGAAAATGTTTTAATGATGGAATCTTTGAAATATTTTATATTAACATGTTAACAGGTATATATATATTTAACAAAAAATCCACATTAATACAGTGACAATCTGTCAATAATTCTGACTTTTCTTGACATTTTGGTGTATTTGGGGCAGATTACGGTGGGATAACTTATGTTGTATTAAGTTTGTTAAGGTTAAGTTAGGATAAGTTAGGTTAGCATAAGTTAGGTTAGGATAAGTTAGGTTAGCATAAGTTAGGTTAGGATAAGTTAGGTTAGCATAAGTTAGGTTAGCATAAGTTAGGTTAGGATA